AGCCCTGCTGCTCCCTGCTCCCCGCATGCAGTCCCCCCCCTCGCCCCTCTGGCTCTTGGTGGCCTGGGCAGGGTGGACAAACATCCATGTTACCCCAGCCGGCACTCGGGGTGTCCCCCCGTCACAGGGCCTCCCAGCAGGGTGCTGGTGGCCTCACTGGAGCCCAGTGGTCCCGTCCGGGAGCGTGTCCTGCTGTGCCTGTGGTGCTGAGCAGCCATGGGGAAGGGCATTGTGTTCGCCTGGCCTGAAGGTGCCTCTTCCCATGTGCCATCCCCACCAGAAAGTTCTGTGCCTCAAGGCTGTGACCGTCCCCATCCCAGCCCCCACCTTTCAGATGTTCTCCTCTGATATCAGCCTAGAGATAGTGTTTGGGATTTCGTTCTCTTAATGTATTCTCTTTCTAGCAGTGGTTGGAGCCGTCATGCTTTTGTGGAAAGCTCTTTGTTGTGTGTATGGGTTTGTTTAAAGGCAGGGTCGGTGGAAGGCTCTGATACCTGCTGGGGCGGGCGCCCCGCAGCTGCTCCTTGGCAGAGAGAAGAGATGTCGCTTGCTCTGGTTTGAAGGCTGTGCCTGATAACTTCATCTCGTGTCTGCTTCTGCTTGTCAGATGAAAAAGCATATATAATCGCTTCTCATTTGCCTCTTCTGTGGTGAAATCCAAGTGATTTTTATAGACCTGTCTCGTAGGATAAATGTTAACGATGTCTATCGATGTGACGCTGAGCTGATGCTGCTCTGGATCTGTCTGCTGCGACTCCCAAAATTCTCCTGAGCTAACGGAGCTGCATGGTGGGGTGCACGCAGCCTGTGCTGTCCCACTGCTGGGTGTTTACAGCCATCTCGTCCTTCTCCAGCCCCGTGCTGTGGGGTATGCTCTGTGAAGTCCCCGATAATTAACACCGTCCGGGGTCCCCTGAGTCTTTGCACCCCCCTTGGGCGCAGGGCAGAGCGGGAGTTGGCTGAGGTGCTGCGAGAAGCTCTCAGCGGGGGCATGGAGGATCCTTTTTTAGGGCTAGTTCATCTTTTTAAAAGAACATGTTTATCAGTGATCTGGAAGGAAATGCAAGTTAATGGAGGGAGAGCTGGAGAAGATGCAACATCTTAGAGATGATAAATAATGAAGAGGACAGGTCCTTGGTACAGTGTGACCTTGATTGCTTAGCTGGAGGGCTGTGTTCTGCAAGCAGTATTTGCACTGAAGCAAAATGTAACGCTTTGCATCTGAAAAAAAAATTAAAATTGAGCCAAGAGGATGGGGAGTTCTTGCTGGGGAGTTTAGCTTTGAAAAAATGCAAACGTGTTGCAGATTTTATTCTTGTTTTGAATATTATGTGTGATTCAGAGCCAGCCCTCCCTCTTCCACTGCCCAAGCCCCCCGAAGAGGTGCTGAGCAGCTTCTCTTCAGGGAGAGATGAAGTAGGCTGGGCCTTTTAATCTGGAAAAGTGGACTGAGGGGAGCATGAGCAAGGTGTGTAAATCATTAGTGGTCTGTGGGTAGAGGTTTATCGTTCACCTCCTCCCCCCTGCCCAGGGGCTGGGAGATGGCAGCCGGCACTGGACCACGGGGGCTCGGGATGAGCAGGGAGCTGGTTCTCTGTGTCTGGCTAAGCTGTGAGAATTGGTGCTGAAAGCTGGGGGGCTGGGAGGTGGCAATGCCATTTATGATGGACTGAAACCCTATGGCTTGGGAAGTGTGTGAGCTGCGCTTGGTGGTGCATGCTCCCGTGTGTTCCCTGAGACTTTCCTTGGGGGATCCATTGCCGGCTGCGCTGGGATGGATGTGATGGTGGGCTTGGAGGAGGCTTGGCTGGGCTCAGCCATTGCTGCATTCTCCTGAAGCACTCGGTCCAGCTGTCAGGCTGCACTTCAGGGAGGGTGTTGATAGACCAGGTATGGTTCAGAGGAGGGGTTTCAATCAGAAATGTTGCCCTGCAGTGCGGGGTGGATTCTGTGTTGCTTAAAATTCATGCATCCATCTGGGACGCCTTCCTAAGAGCCTGCTGTGTTTCAAGTCCAGCCTTTGAACGCGAGGGAGGATTTTGAAAGGAAACATCCTAACAATCATTTACACAGGAACTCAGAGTGGTTAATAATAATGACTTTTGTTTTGCATTTACACCTGGTGAAGAGCTGACCTCCAGATGTTTTTCCTGCCATGTCCTTGAGACTGGCTGTAGGATAACTGAAGAGCAGCAGAGCTTCATTTATCTACTGCTGCTGGTGAAACAGCAGGAGATGCTGGTACAGATGCTTGTGTGTTTGGGAAGATTAATTAGTGTTTGTCATTGTGCTGCAGAAGAGTGCACCAGACGTTCTTACACACCTCGTTCTCGTGCGGTCAGGAAAGGCAGCGCTGCCTGCTAGGCTTGGTGCTGGAGAGGAGTGGGCGCTGCAGATTCCAGCCCACATCTGCAAATGCTCGTGCTGCAGTGGGCTGGGGGCCCATTCGTCCCCGTTCCTGGAGAGGTGCCCTTGGATGTCAGAATCGCAGTTACTACAATCACTCTGCAGAGAGCGGCTCCCACTCTGGGGCACCACAAAATCCCTTTTTACCTCCCGCCCTGAGCCTTGGCACGGCTGAAACGCTGGGCTCTGACAGTGACCTCCCATCTTGCCGATCTTGGAGCTTAACGAATGGCAGTGCTGAAATGCTGTAATGAAAACAAGGGTTTGGAGGAAGAGGAGGTGTTGTCTTCATCTCAGACCTGTGGAGAGCGGTGGCCTGAACCAGCTCTTTCTGTGGAGCTCAGCAGATGTGCCTTTCTGGGGACGTGTGCCGCCCGCCCCAATAATTGCTGTAGTGAGAGTGAAAAATGGACTGCCTCAGCGTAGCTGTGAGCTTAGAATGCTGTTTGTGTCTGTCTTACAAGCACCGTATTACAGCTGAGCAGACTAATTACAGGGTGTCGTGAAGAGTGAACCCCTGGGCAGAGTCTGGAGACTCCAGTTAAGAGCTCAGTGTAGGAGAGAGATTTGTCGAGGAACAGCCCAGATCCTCTCGTGTTAAGATTGATTTTAAGACACAAAATGCTGAAGTGGCGAATCCTTCCCTGGCCTCATCTTGCAGGCATTTTCAGGCGTTTATTTGGCACTCACAAAGCCTTTCTATCCTCTCTCTTGCAGATGTGTCGGTCGGCGATGCCTGCTGGCTCGGCTTGGCCCGGTGCTTTCTGTGCGACAGTGAGTCCAAGGTTTTACTGAGAGTAACAGGGTTAAGTTCTTCCCCAAGGGATCCCGTCTAAGGCTTTGGGGCATGCCTGTGCTCCATCCATTTAGTAATTCTGGTCAATCCATGCCATGTGTTGGCTGGGCACTTCCCACCTTGTGCCACCGCCAGGGCACAGCTGATTTACAGAGGGGCTGGGGCTCGTGGATGGGGATGCAGGGAGAGCCTGGATGGCTGCTGAGGCGGGTCTGGGTCTCTCGCTGGGGCAGCAGTACCCCTGCCATGCCTCTGTGCTGCTCTGTGCCACAGCTTTGCACCCAAGGAGTGATGGGAGCCACAGAAGCCCTCTTGTGCCTGTGCTTCGTGCTGCTGGGCTTAAGGAGAAATAGTTATTTTCTGCTAAATTGAGCTGTAAGTGTAATTGCTGTGTAATCTCAGGAACATTAAATTACAAGCTCTTTATTTGGTACAGTGTGCAATTACCGTGGCAGTAAAGAGCGGGTTGCATGTTATCAGTATTATATAACGTGTTATCTGATATGCTATACCCTGATTTGGGTGGTGCTGGGGGGTGGCTCGGCTGTGCTGGCTGAGTGGATTCCAGTGCAGCAGCTTCCCATCCTGTGTATTGTTATTATTCACTTGGGAGAGCTGGCAGCGATCCCCTCCTCGCCCGTGTCCATGCACAGCTGGAGCTGTTCTTTATGTTGCTGTAGACAAGGTCAGCCAGGAGCGTGCGTCCTGTGAGAGGGAAAGCTGCCGCAGCGTTGTCTGGCAGAGTGGGCAGGGGTAAAATGCTGCCCATCTCCCCACAGCTCCCCTGTCCTCTTCTTTTGCAGCATTGTCCCCATGGGAACAACGGCCAAGGAGGAGATGGCCCACTTCTGGGACAAGAACACCAAGTCCAATCGTCCCTTGTCCCCTCACATCACCATTTACAAGTAAGAGCCTCTTGGCCTCCTCAGCCTCGCACTGGGGCACCTCTGGGCTCTGGCTCCCGTCCCCGGAGGCACCCTTGGGTGGGAAGGCAGTGCGTGTTCCCGCTGTCACTTCAGGCAGAGGACACGGAGACCCTCCAGATTGCGCTGTGAACAGTCTGAGCGGTCGGGGGGGAATCACAGCCTCCCCCACGGAGCTGGTGACACTCACTGTTTTCATACAGGGTGTTGCAGAGGGGACAGTTTCCTCGGAGCTGTGCCTTAGGGTGCGTGGGCAGGGCAGCGTTCTGCTGAAAGGGTGGTTGTGCACAACGGTGTGTCCTGCTGCGGAGTTGGCAGCCCTCGGGGTCGGAGGCAGGAGGCCAGTTCCCGGCTCTCAGGTTCCCTCCCCAGAGAGGTGATGGCTTCTTTGGGGACACCTCCATCACTTTTCCAGGTTCTCTCCTTTGTCTGTGAGCCTGGATGCCCGAACTCTGCCCCTTTGTTCCTCAACTGTGGGAGCATTACAGTCTTCTCCTGTTACATCTCCCTTTAAGCTTTCTCAGCAGACACCCTTCCCCTTCCCAAACTCGTGCCAGTGGCATTTGCCATTCCCGAGCTGCCTCTGCAAATTCCCCTGTCTCTCCCCTGTTGCTCTGGCTGGATTCCTTGAATAACTCCGAGTGCAGAAATAACCGCCCAGCAGCACAGAGCTGTCTAGGAATAGATGGGCTGTGCTTTGTCTCGCAGCGTCGGAGGCCTCCCTGGTGTTGTGCCCTGTTTTGCTGATGAGCTTGGTTGTTTTTCAGGTGGTCCCTGCCCATGGCGATGTCCATCACGCACCGGGGCACCGGCGTTGCGCTGAGCTTAGGTGCGTGCGTCTCCCACCTGCTCGTGGTGACGGAGGGTGGGGGCTGCGGAAGGGAAGACCCCTCGGACTCATTCAGAGACGTGACTCCAGGCGGACATTTTCTCCCCTCTGTCCCCACCTTCAGCAACAGGTTTTCTCCTGGGAAACCTGCACTTTGTCCTCTGCCTTCTCTGCCCCCAGTATTTCCCCATCCCCGTTTCTGTGTCCCTGGGTCCTCTTTATGCTGTGAGTGGCTCCAGTCCTGCAAAAGGAGCGATGCTTCCCCCGTACTTAAAACCTCTTCAAAGCTTTTCCCGCACTTGGCTTGGCCTGGTGCCTTTCTTCCAGGCCTCCCCCAGCCTGGAAAAGGCTGGTCAGCTACTCCAGTTCTCAGTCCTTCTCTTCCGTGGCTGTGTTTTGCTGGTTTATCCTTACAGGAGACACTCTGTGAGGGAAAGGCTGACAGGGAGAGCTCAGAGGGTTTTCTGTAGTGCAGGTGGTGTTTCTCAGTTTCGTGGGAGTGGCTGCTGTTTTCCAAGAGGTCCTGGTGGGGAGAAGGTGATGCCAGCATCACCTCCAGCAATTTGACTTGCATGGTTTGACTGAGGGATAGGATATCTTAACTGTGAAAGCCTGTTTTATTTCCATTAATGCCTTCACATGGCAGCAGGAAGGTGCATCTCTGGTAGCCCCTATTGAGGAGGGGGAGCTGGATTGGTGTTTGCAGAAGGGCAGAGGGTGAAGGGGCTCAGAAAAGATTTTCAGGGCTGAGGACTTGGCGTTCTTCACTCCGCAGACTGATAGGGAGCAGCGAGGGCTGCAGCCTAACCTCAGCCTTGGCTTCTGTGAGGGCCTGGGAGTTGGGCTCTCAGAAAGGGGCACCCACATGCCCTCCTGCTCCCGTATTAGCACGGCAGAGCCCTGGCGAGGGCTCGGCTCTGCCCCAGGCTCCGCTTCTCCCAGGCCAGCTGGCTTGTGCCCACCTCTGCCTTGTGAAGACCAGGATGCATCCTCTGCAGGAGAGCAGCAACGACTGGCTGGCCTCAGCACAC